ATCATGCAAGCTTGCTAATAATTTACTTCAATTTCATTCAAAGGTGACACATTTCTCAGTAGTTATCACCGCTAAGGACTTCAACCCTGAAAAATATGCTGCATTCAGTAGAGTTCTGTGCAGGTATGTTTATGTACAAACCATTTAGTGCAACCACTTAGTGCTTGTGTTGAGTTTCCGAAATTGGTCATTATTTCTTTCAGTAAGCATCTTTTGTTTGCCAGCACACCATTTCTAAAGATGTACACAGAGTTTTTGAGTTTGTGATGTTACATCTGTAACATTGTGTTTGTTCAGGACATATATCAAACATGGAAGTCCTGTGAAGATGATGGAATGCTACATCGCTGTTCTGACCGAAGGGATATGCCAGAGTGATGAGAATGGCTCCTTCCTTATCAAAGATTACGACGTCAGAAAGGCCTACCTGGCTGGATCCTTAAAAGGTTAGGGGGAACCCTTAAAATGAACAAGCACTACTCACTAAACACGGCAAGAAATGAGCTGCTTAAATCACATACCTCTGGTACTATGGCCATTTGCTCCATTTGGCTTTATGATTGTTATTTTGGAAATCCTTCAAGAAAGTGTCTTAATTCTGTAAAAAAAAAAATATATGTATAGTATGTAAGTTTGCTTTATTCTAGACTTCATGAGATGTTAAATCTTTATTTTAGATGTTGTGTCACAATTTGGTATGGAGACCATCATCCTTTATACAGCACTAATGTTGAAAAAAAGAGTAGTGGTCTATCACCCACGTATTGAGGCGCTGCTGGAGTTCACAAGGTAACCACGGAAATGATCATTAAGTTGACATGAAATCAAAATTGATTCTATTTACTTTCATAATTTACATTTGACATTAACCCAAACCAGAAACATGGCAGATTAAGGAAGTAAAATGGATTGCAATCAGCATTTCACGTTGACTTTAAGTATGTCCTGTGTTGCTTCTACAAACAGCTTTGTTCAAGGTGCTTGTGGTTATGGTTAGTGGTTTACAGTACTGTTCCAAAAAAAAAATTTTTGTGCTCACGAAGCCTGCATTTATTTGATCACAAATACAGTAAAACGGTAATATTCTGAAATATTATTACAATTTAAAAATAATTTCTATTTCCGTATATTTAAAAAATGTAATGTATTCTTGTGATGGCAAAGTGAAATTTTCAGCAGCCTTTACTCCAGCCTTCAGTGTCACATGATCCTTCAGAAATCATTCTAATATGATGATTATGAAAAATGTATCATATTCAATGTTGAAAACAGTTGTGCTGCTTAATATTTAACCTTGGAGTATTTAATATTAATATGGACTAATTAAATATTAAATATTTAACCTTCCTATATATTTAATATATAGGAAACCTTGATACATTTCAGAAATCTTTGATGAATAAAAACTTCAAAAAGAACAGTATTTGTTTCATTTATATACTGTATTTCAATTCAATTATACATTTTTGTAACCATTTAAGTCTGTCACTTTTGATCAATTTAATGCATCGTTGCTTAACAAACGCATTTATTTCTTAAAAAACAACAACAATAAAAAGCTTACTCAACCCACACTTTTGAAAAGTATTGTATGATAATGGTCATGCACTAAAAATGATTTGTGGTAACAGTGTTTCTGTTTTTAAAAGCAGAGCTCTTCCTGGACTGGTATGGCATAGAAAAGACTGGTCCATCCTCCACCCTTTTGTTAACCTGGATGATAATGAGCTGGAAAACCTCAAGCTGTGTACAGGTATGGACAAATCCTCCCAAAACAAACACTTGCTACATTTATGAATTTCTTTGTTCTTTGTCTCTGTAGGATATGTTGCAGGGTTTGTCGATCCTGAAGTCAGAGACAGATCAGATCTGTTTGATGTGTACGTTAATCTTCCAGACAGTGAAATCACTGTGTCACAAAATGCCAAAGGTGAGAGATTCAGTTTTACATACTGACTGGGATTAGGTAGGAATGGTGATGTGGATGTTTAAGTCACCATACCTCACTATGCCTTGTTTTCAGAGGCATTGGCTATGGGAAAACTCCATAAAGAGATTGGCAACTTCATTGTCCAGGCTGCAGAGGACACCGATCGCATAGATGCACAGGTTATTAAGGTGACGTACAATACTAAGACAGTATCAGCAAATACACAAAATACAGCTGTAGCACAACCTACATTTGAAGCATTTCAATTTACCAAGACTTGGAAATCCTACATGTGTTTTTAATCCAGCCCCTTTTTAAATCGGTCTCCAGGATATTTCAGTAAAAACTAAGGAGATCCTCAGTAACCTGATGTCTCTTGCTGATGAAGCAGAGAACTCTAAGTTGACTTTGGAGACCCTGAAGCAGCGGCACTACCCTCCAGCGACTGAGAACTTCCTCTTTCACTTAGCTGCAGCTGAGCAACTCCTGAAGATCTGACCAATCAGTGCATCTCGTCCAGCTAGCATGCCTCACAGTAACTGATCAGAGAGGAACTTACCATTCATTGTGGAATCATAAAATTAACATTTTTTTATTTTAAAAGTAACATTTGAAAGAATCTGTGTCTAATTTCAGGTGTTCTGAACAGGGCAAAAGTTATATAAGAACATAAAGATTTCTTAGAAAGATATATAAAATACAGCTATAACATGATAGCTACACCTCATGGGTGTAATTATGTTGAATGTAACATTTCTAAGTGATAACAGGTTTGAGATAAATAATTCATAATCAAACCTTTTGGTAACACGTGGATTTATATGCTGTCCTCTGTAAGCATTCCTGAGGTATCTAATTATTAAGTTGTTCATAACCTTAATTTGGCATGCTCTTTGAACTTAAGATTTCATCATTGCACATCAATGTGAAAGGACTGACGGTTGCCTAGTTCATGCTTAATTAAAAGACATTTGTTATGCTGTAAAATAATAATACCGTTATGTTAATTGTTCAGTGAAAACTAAAATACAGTTGCTCTAATGAGGGTCCCATTAAATTCAGAATGTAAATAAATGAAAAACTGAAAATCAGTTTTACTTAACTGTTGAGTGCCAAAACCTCAGCTTAAAGTTATGATGTTAATTAACAACCTGTATGTCTATTGTTTTAAGACATCTTTTTATCATTATATGTTCAAATGACGATTCCCATGTTAGATTTTACATTCCTAGTGATTGCACATATTATTGATTTTGACATTAATTTATCCATTTTTGATTAATCTCATTAATTTGACAGTCCCTTGTTATCAATGGCTATCATCTGTGCTTAAACAGATCATAGATGATATTCTGATCATATGTGTGCAATATATCCTGAAAAAAGAGGCTGTTCAAACTGTATTCTCTATGATTTCTTAAACACTGTCCTCATCCTTTACATAGTCATAAAATGCTGTTTTCTTAGAAACTTTGCTAAATGTCTGTGACCATTAAATGTATATAAAAAAAATATATGTGAGTGGCAACAGGAATTTTATTGACTAACAGATTTGGTAAAATCCACTTCAACGCAGTGTTTAAAACCCTTTTCAGCCTGAAATGCAGCTATTAAATGAATATGAATTCAGTACTGTAGAGTTGTACTTCTTCCTTTGGTCATTGAGTATTAGTATAGCATTGATTAGTAGCTCATAAACACTTTTGAGAAAATGTGCATTCTTTTAAAACTTAAAGTAGCCACCTTTTTGAAATTTTGTTGAAATACAGCGGACTTAGTATACTAGTTCAGTTTAATGTCAGCAAGATCTGTCAATAAAATTCAGTCAAATAGGAAAGCTGGCAACGGCAACATTACAGTCCTCTGTGGTAAAACAGTTCACTGTGACCATCAAGTGACTGAAACTCCTCCTCTAAATTCTCCTTCTTTATCTGCAAATAAAAAAATAGGTTGGTTCTGAATCATGCTTATCAATGGTGATTGAGTATGCAATTTTTGATGAAAACGTTCAGAGAATTGATGAATGCCTTTACGAAATTAAAATGATAAAGTATGATAACCTGGTTTGTTAAGACTGGATGATGGTGAGATCAGATCTCTGTGTGCAGCACTGGCTGTTGTCAGACTCCTTGTGAAAACAAAAATCTCGCTGGATTATTACAATTAATGGCAAAATGAATCTTTGGAAATGTAAACTGATATTTCCTACTGACACACTACAGGGAAAGATAGAAATAACTGACTTCAAATCATTTTTTAGCTGGTGAAAATAATAGTGTTCTAATAATTTTGGCCACCACTGTATATACCTTTGTCTACCAAATTTACATTTGCTTATTTCTCAATTCTCAATCTGATTTATTTATTTGTTACTTTTTATTTTATTTTAGAACTCACCAAGGGAGCAGATATAGGTAGAAAAACTGAAAACAAAAAAGAAATAGATGTGTCATCAAGAGGACCAAAATAACATTTTTTTCAGTTCAGATGAATGTAAATTGCTTCACATTAATGAAGCAATATCTCTACGGACACAAAGCTTCAAGTTTGTTACTGTACCTTGAGAACGAAACACTGGTGAGATTACAGCTCCAGTATCAGGATGGACAGATGACTGAAAAAAAGTGTAACAATGTTAATGACGAAACATGTGTGAAATGTATAAAAATGTTAATGTTTTAGTTTAGGGCAAAATCAAACTGTGTCTTAAAACCACATCTGGACAGCCAGTCACGGCTGTAACCAACATGTCATTGACTAAGCGGGACAGACATGTCCCACACTTTTACCTGTGATTACACGTTGCAGTGGAAATCATACACAAATGTTCCATTTGAATCTATTTATATTTAGATAATTATACTTTGTTTGTGACACAATGGAAGAAGCAGGAGATTGCACTAAAACATAGGTGAACAGTTTAATCAAAAATAATTTATTATTTTAGTTCTCTAGCCAATTTTGTCCCATGTCTGAAGAATCGGTATCTATTGTTAAGTCATGCCTGCTTGATCTCCATTTTAATTACATTTTTAAATATTGAATTATTATCAATTATTTACTGTTAAATTACTTATTTTTGTAATGCATCTTAATTTCTTCCTACTTGGCAGCACATTTGTTTGCCCCACAGAGATCATCGCCTTCAGTGACAAGGCCAATGAGTTTCATGATATAAACTGTGAAGTAGTTGGTGTGTCTGTGGACTCTCACTTTACCCACCTGGCCTGGACCAACACCCCGAGAAAGGTTTATAATTTACTTTGCATTCAACATTCTCAATTCTCTAAATAGGATCAAGTTATTGGGAAGCTAGCAACAGAAATGCCCAATTCATAGCAAATCTTAAGATCACTGGCTAAACTCTGGTCTATCTTTAGAGTGGAGGATTAGGGAAAATCCACATTCCCCTGTTGGCTGACCTCACAAAGCAAGTGTCCAGGGACTATGGGGTCCTGCTGGAGGGTCCTGGAATTGCACTAAGGTAACATGTGCAGTCATTAACAAACATTTTTTTGTAGTTCTTATAAGTTTTTCATGCATTGTTAGGCTGCATAATTTGCTTTTCAAGAGGAATGTATCTAAAACCAAATGTTTCACATTATAGGGGTCTTTTCATTATTGATCCTAATGGAGTGATTCGACACATGAGTGTAAACGACTTGCCAGTTGGACGCGTAGGCATTAAACTGCCAGAATTTTAAAAGACGATATCTCTGTTTGCATTGAACTTTCAACTTCGTAACTTTACAGATATTGTTTATGCTCAAACAACATTAGCCACTAACGTTAAAAAAGTAAAATCACAATGAGAAAACAATGACTACTACTATTTTTTATAAACCTGTACTCTTTATAAAGCTGTTAAGGGCTGGTTATCTTATGTTTTCTGTTCAATTGACTTCCATTCATATGTATGTGAATGCAGGAAACATGAATGTGAATCATGCAAATTTCGCTGTACATTGTCCATAGAAATTTTGAATGCTCAAAGTCAAATGACAGCAGCTTTAGCTTTCAGTTGTTGTGAATTGGTCGTATTTGGCCAGAAATGAACTTCGTAAATCTGTCATGGCCATAGATTTGAAATGTAAGGGTTTTGTTGTTTATGTTTTGACTTTGCATTCATATAATTGTCTTTTCTGTTTGTTTTAGATTAAGCCAACTCCAGCTGGCTCGAAGGAATACTTTGAGAAGGTCAACTGAAAAGTCAAAACTACTGGTACTGACAGATCATGCAGATCTTGGCACTTAAATGAAACCAGTCCATAATTCATATCCAAAAGAAATATGTATATTTATAGACTTCATGTATCAGTATGTAGGCAGTTATTAGGCAGCAGAATCTGTTTTGATTTATGTATTTGTTACGCTGTCCAAATAAAAACTGCACTGTTACGGATTTGTCTCTTAGCTATAGCAGATGCTTTCTATCCAAAGTGCTTCACTCTCCAACACAAAGAATTTTTGACATTTTGATTAAAGATTGAGGTCAAATAATTTGTAAGCACAACAGCTTAAAAATCAAGGTCAAACTACTAAAGCTTGATTCTTAATCAAGATTGTCTATATATTACAAGTTATTTTGACAAACACACTTATGTTAAAGAAAGATGAAGCTGCCATCACACCATTTGTTTATTCTACTGAAAAGTGCAATCAATTACATACTGATTTGGTGTAATTCTTATAGTTCCCATCAAATACTCAGCTGTCCTTGGGCAGAAATTTTAATTGACAACTTTCAACCTCCATATATATATATAAACCATGCCTACATAACCTCAAAAACATTTATTTCTTTTTTCTCCTTTATTCAGCAAGTTAATGTTTAAAATGTCTCTTTAGACTTCACATGGAACATGACATGAAGAACCAGAAATCAATTTTTTTAAACTGGGAGGAATGAGGTTTAGAAAAAGGCTTTGCCACTTCTCAAACTTTTTTTTTTTTAGTTACATACTGTATTTACACAATGGAACATAAGAAAAATAACAACAGCTTGGTCTAAGTGTGTCTGCACGGAACATGACATGAAGAACCAGAAATCAATTTTTTTAAACTGGGAGGAATGAGGTTTAGAAAAAGGCTTTGCCACTTCTCAAACTTTTTTTTTTTTGGTTACATACTGTATTTACACAATGGAACATAAGAAAAATAACAACAGCTTGGTCTAAGTGTGTCTGCACTTAGTAATCATGAAAACATCTAGTAAAGTGTACAATAACTTCACTTTGTACAGTATGTCTGCAGAGATTTAGCATGTGTGCCTAAATTGTGTGAGATTCACAATTTTGGTTGAGATCATGGATACAAAAATAAGCACAAAAGAGACGGCTGTCCAAGACAATGAATAGCCTTTAAACTCTTTAAATAAAAAAAATTAAATAAAAAGCTGATGACTAACTCCTCTGTGAGCAGCACAAAGTCAATGAAGCACTTATTTTTGAGACCGTTCTACAAGATGCAAATGAACAAGGGTAGTGATGGGGGTCACCTAATGTGTAATAATGCTTAAAGAACAAACAAACGAATAGAATCTGATCATATGATTTGGTGAAAAATTCATGCAAGATGTAACTGTGCCACCAAGCCCACCCCAACCTTCACAACAAAAAAAAGAAAAACCTTAAACTGACTGTCTAAAAAAGAAAGACACCCTTTAATAAATCTGTACAACCAAAATACATTTGGGATCTACATCTACAGTTACATTATTAAGGTTATATACATGGCCACCCCCTCCATATATTATCTTTACAAGCAGACTTCATTCAAACCCAAACAAGACTGAACTGGAAAAAGAAATATCACATCACACAACCCATTAAAAAAAATCTGCCACCAAACCATCATTTCAGATCACCAATCTCACTAGAATCTGCTGCGGATAGCGAACTCTATCTGATGTGCCAAGCTCTGTCCCGCACTGGTCTGTGGATCTGAGCTACAGGAAAACAGACGCCCTCAAAAAGGTAGAGCTAAAACCTGGCTGCTTCACAGCATATTGGTTTATCTTTTTATTTATGAACGAAAAAAACAATTATTTGGGAATTTCAAACCGCATTATGCTTTTGGTGTGATTCATAAGCATGTAAAACACTACAACAATGGCATTGTATGACTCTGTAATACAAAACAGACAAGCAAGAGGATGGACGTAAACCCCACTCTCCAATATTCTCATATAATTAGAACAAAGGCTCTCAATACACTTTGGCCTCTTCACTGAAGAGAGCTAGACTATTCCATCAATAAAGATCTGTTCGAAGGTTTTTAGGTGGGATAGAGTTATAAGAAATAGGAGCAACGCTGTGGTGTACTTTCCTCTTTTATCTGCATTTACTGCCTGCATTTCCTCTGGAGGGAAAAACGAAAAGCAGATAAAACAAAAAAATAAAAAGTTTATTACACCTCTCATTTTACCCTTGTGTACGCATCATGCTGCAACTTTTAATTCTTTGAGAAAATGGAAAACTAGATTTTGTACAAGATACCACAATCTCTTCTTGCAAAATAAATGGAGACTTTGTGCCCGCTTCGATCGGGAGGAAGTGTCGGCTGTTCCGCAGCGTCGCTGCAGTTTCTAGTCGATTTTCACATTTGTGTAGATCTTTCTCACAAAGGCACTTGTTCCCATGTAACCCACCGCACCTAAAAACAAGGAGATAAAGAGAAAAAGACAGTCAAAATGTGTCAGTCACCTTCCCATACAGCAACATTTATGACAAAGTCCGTGTGAACTGGAAGCTGCTGCTGACTTTATTTCAGTATAGTGACGTATTTCCAACTGAAACAGAATAATGAATAGAGGGCGGGGTATTTTTGATCTCATCTCTCACTCGCAGCAAACTAACGGTTGGAGGGGCGTGGTTAAGCATATTCTGCCCAAGCCGTCAAACTGACGTTGTCAGAGAAGGAATGCCATTCCAGAGTGGAAGCAAATGTTCAGATTTTGATTAAAGATTACCAAGACAAACATTTTTTTTTCCCAGTGTATTTACTTGCACGGATACATTGTTCACCTCCAGACTAGCAATGGGTGCTAACAAAATGAATTTTGTACATTTTGATTTCATCCCGACTTTAAGAGGAGAATCGCAGTACTGGTGGAGAAATGATTTTGTTTTCTTATACTCACCACACATGATTCCCAGAGCAGTACTGAACACAGCCATGTAGCCAAAATAGAATGATGTCTGAAATAAGCCATACATCCTGGGGGAAAAAATTAGTCCATGCAAATTATTGGTATCAGATCCCACATCTACACATACACAATAAATCAATTAAATAAAAAACGAGAAACAATTTCTACTTTTCAATGTACTTTTACAATGTATTTGCATTTTACACAAGCAACTAAAATGTGTAAAAAGTAGAATGATGTCTGAAATAAGCCATACATCCTGGGGGAAAAAATTAGTCCATGCTAATTATTGGTATCAGATCCCACATCTACACATACACAATAAATCAATTAAATAAAAAACGAGAAACAATTTCTACTTTTCAATGTACTTTTACAATGTATTTGATCCTTAAATTTAGAATGCAGTTTCTACTATTTTTATGGTAAATATTAATGTTTTGCAGAGCTTTTCACTTAAGAGAAAACATTTTATAGAAAATGACAGCTTGGAAATTCTGCAAAATATCGTTTTTATGGTGCATAAAAAGAAAATCGTGCATTTCGAGTGGCTGGGGGTGAGTAAATGAGTCGTTTTAAATTTAGAGCATTCATATAATGACATTTGAAGAAAAGGAACTAAATCTCACTTTGTTTTGAAGAAATAGTAGTAGAAGGAGTACATGTAAACGTAAACAGCTGTTGACGCTGCAGAGAGAAAGCTTGTCCACTGCCTGAAAAAAAAAAAGTTCAAAATTACATTAATCTTAAAACAATTTCTGTCATTTAGTCTCATGATGTAATCTGGTTATGCTGTATTTACCACCCTACAAGACATTTAAATGCCTCTGTGGTCTGATCCCAAGGGAGGATGGATGTGGGAACAAATTAAATTGGTTCCTATTATGCTTTTTCAACTTTAGTTAGTCTGTAATGTTGCTGTTTGAGCATAAAAAAAAGATCTGCAAAGTTACAAAGCTCAAAGTCCACTTCAAAAGGAGATTTTATTTAATAGAAATCATTTTTTTAAAACTACAACGAATGACTCGTTCGGACTACAACGTATATTTTCCGGGATTTGTGATATCACAAAAGATCTGCAAAGTTACAAAGCTCAAAGGCCACTTCAAAAGGAGATTTTATTTAATAGAAATCATTTTTTAAAAACTACAACGAATGACTCGTTCGGACTACAACGTATATTTTCCGGGATTTGTGAATCACAAATATCGACGAATGGGACGAGACCTGGTTGAGCTGCACTAGAGAAGGCAACGAGTGTTTATCAGCATTATAAATATGGCAACATGGCAAGTAAATGCTCCTTACCATCTGTAGTCTTCTGCATTGAGAAGGAAGTAGGTACAGACGATGGTAACACAGACTGTAACAATGCACAGGATCACCAGCACCAGCATCATAAATCCATACACATAGTAAATCTTGTAGGCCCAGAAAGATGTGAAGATGAAGTACCTGAAGGAAGATGTGAGGCAGTTTTTAGTTATGGGTATACATATTAAGGGTGCTCCGATCAGGATTTTTTTGGGCCGATCACCGATTGTCAATCACAGGAAGCAGTATCTGCCGCCCGATACCGATCTTTTTGAAGCCTTCTTTTTATCATGTAGAATTATTTATAGTGATGCTCCAGTCAGGATTTTTACAGACATTCATTCAGGGCCTTAATTTAATGTTTGAAAATAGGGGGAATTCCCCTCTTAGGTGACTATTTTTTTTTTTTTCAAAAATATCATTATCTCACCTAAATGTTTGATCATGCAGTGCATTTTTGTTTTTACAATGGGGCAATTGTTGCACAATAGCTTACACACAGCACAAGCCTGATTTTGTGAGCTGTATGTGAGGCGGCCTCATGCCAGGTTCACACATACTCCGTTTGCAGTGCGTATGCAGTCCATGTGTGGTACGCAAGCGGTGCAGAAGCAGCACAGACTCATTGTGCTTTCACACAGAGGTCCACTGATCCGTGGCTGTTTACCACAAACAAAACGAACAAATTAGAAATATGAAATTTTTTCAGATGCAACAAGAATTTTACCAAGCAAATAATGCTTTAAGACTGCGAGGGATTATGTGTAATATCGAGAGAATTAGAAACTAAATAATGACACTAGTGTGTTTTCAACCAAATTCAGTGGTCCAAAATAACATATACAAGTAAGTGACGGTCTTTTCTTACTTAACAGTTGATCTCAGTTGTAAAATCAGCCTGAGATTGACTTGTACGTAAACATAAATGTAGGCATGTAGGACTAGACACTATATAAGGTTTATTATTTACAAAAAACAAAAAAAACACTAGCTTTCTATTTTTTTCCTATTCTATCTACTTGTTTTTCTTTGTGTGTGTGTATATGTGTGTGTATAATATATACATTTGCTGTGAGTATATCTGGTCCTAAAATGGTTACATTTATAACTTATCTATAGTTAACACTGTTAAAATGATATTTGGAGCTATCCTTATAGCAAATGTTACACATATTCGTTTGCATACCTCCTTGTTTTGCATATAGACTTCCACCAAAGTAGCCGTTGACTGGAGATGTGGCAGCATAAACAAATATGGCTGTACTCAGCATGGACCCTCTCCTACAAAGACAAACATAAAATTCCTTTGATAGGCACTTAAGGAAATGTGTACACTAGATGTTATCTAGGACCTTAAGTCCTGTTAAATGTACAAATGTATATCGCGATTATGCAGTCATTTTTGTTACAGCTCTATACATGATAATTAAACAACACATAGGCAAGTAGTTTATGACTGCCATGATAATCATAGGTGAAACTCACTCTGTATACAAGTCCTCAATCATAGCCAAAATGATGACTATGAGGGAAACAGAGAAGATCTGACAGCCAGAGCCAATGAGGGAGGAGAAGATCAGCGGATGGCTGGACGGCCTGAACACATCACCATGAACCTGCTTCCATCCATATTCATCACCAAGATCACGATCCTGATAGCAAGATAAAGAAAAAAATAATACATAACATAATACGAGTTTTGACAAAATGCAGAGAGCAAGATGACAACCCTGAGAGAAATGTAGCATTAAATTGTAGAGCTGTTACCAGAACTAAAACACATCAGTCACTGTAAGGTTGTGAATCAACTAATTCATCACAGACATGCATAAATTAAAAAGCGATGGAGTTTGAAAGGCTCATTTAATAAAGTATTTCAAAAGTTCTCTCTAAGTGATCACCATGTCATCCATTTCCTCTTCTTTGCTGTATCTGGCGTAGTCTTTCCTTAATGTCCTCATCAGGATCATTGAAACAAGGCCAACCAGGAAAATCACCATCATGAAAGAGTTAAATATTGAGAACCAGTGAATCTGTCAGGTGCAAAACCACACACACAAAAAAAAACATGAAATATATTCAATACATCATTCAGCACATTTTATATCCATTGGGAAAATGTTATCAAACATTATGTGGCACTTACTCTGTGTTGAAAGAAGGATGGATCAAGGTACTTGTCAAATCTATCTTCAAATTTCACATCAGATTTCTTCCACTTCACCTGTGAGGATCATCAAAACATAACTACACATATGAGAGGTATCTAAGCAAACACTGACTTCTTTCACACAATAAGCATCAGTTATACATTTTTATGGGCAAAACAGCTATGTTAAAAGTATAGGAAAACAAAAAAAGGCAAACCACAAATTTTAAGTGACAATTTAACTAGTATTAGTAAATATTAGCAGGGTACTGAGGCTCAGGAAAGCTTTACTCACTGAGTATGACATGGGAATTCTTGTGTTTGGCACAAGCTTGACCTTCCCCTCGCTGGTCAGGTTAACATCCACAATTCTATTCCCATTTTGTCCAATCTCCAGCTTTTTGTAAGTCCAGAGATAATAGTCCTCACCATTCTCGTCAGCTTCACCAACAATTCCTTAAATAATCCCACAAAACAATTTTCAATTAAGAATGAAGGTAAAAACTTCACATAATGTCAACAGTATATTATCAGTTTAAATAAACAAGTAAATTAAATCTAACTAAATGAAATCAAAATTGACTGTTTACTCAATATCTGTCTCTGGTCTTATTGGCAATGATTCAGTTCTGTATGTTATTCTTTCATCAAAATGTCATAACTTTCTCTACCTACCACTAATATCACAGCCTAACATTTTATAACCCAACCCTAAAAGATATGTCTGCTGTATTTCCTCTTGAATATTGTGTAAATGCTTCAAATCACAGACATTAAACGCTTTGCGAATATCATTTCACATTGTCGTTTCAAGCATAGAACCAATAAAAACATTTTCAAGCTTTTGAGACAAACTTACTATTATGCATATCAGATCAAATGCAGTATTTTATCTGCTTCAAAAATCATAAAAGATCTAGGCAAAGGAGAAGTGCTCACTAACACAGATTTAGACAGATTTGTGAACAATATTTGAGAGAAATAGGCCTTTTGAGTACATAGAAAAAGTCTTAGATCTTTGAGTTCAGCTCATGAAAAATGGGGGCAAAAACAAAAGTGTTGCGTTTATAATTTTGTTCAGTGTAGCTCACTCAGATGCCAGTTAAAACCAATTTTTTCCTTGCCATAATCAAATATCTTTAATTCATCATTAGCAACTATTAGAACACTTATTAATCCTGCTGCTCTTTCAGAACAAATGGTTTTACAACAATAACACCAAGGGAGTTACATTTCATTAGTACTGTTGAGCAGTAATGGTTTGTTAAAATGTCCCCTGGAGGGAAACAGAGTATTTAAAAATACTTAAATAAACTGATTTCCCTTCCAGGCACTGAAAGGTCTGCTTTTTTTTGAGAATTAGTTAATTGCTTAGTAACATTATCGGAGGTACAAGATCATTTAAACAGAGTGAGAAGATGGTCAGTGGATGGGAAGCTTCCAGAAAAAAATATATAGCTATTTTGTCAGCTCACAATGGATCTTAAAGAGCTATCTAAAGCATTTCTGTTCCAGCATCCCTGTTAACTTGAGTCCCCCACCTGCTGCTCCCACACAAGCTGTTTGATGTGAAGAACGGTGTGTAGGGTCCAAGATGCCATTGAAAGAGGCCAGTTTCTAGAGCACCTAGAATTATGGTGGTTTTATCTCTCAGAAGGTCTGCTGAAGTCTCTTTTGGAAATGTGGACATGCTTTGCTGACAACCATTTTCTGATTAACCAAGAGGAGACACTCAGCAGCTTGATGGAGGATGGGTCAGAGCTGGGTGAGCTGTGCTAAGGGGTTGCTAGTACCCTCCAGAATCACCATGAGCTTAAAACTGATTCCAATTTGAAGGAAACTTTTGAAACCATGAAAATTTACATCAGTGATTTTGAATGATGTTTTGCTAACCTCAAAGGCTTCATGGGCCTCAATCATAAACACGGTTCATCCACCCTGTGACCAAAGGCTCAAGAGACAACAGCATCCAACGACAAGAGACACTGTCCAGTAAAGCGGCAAAGATGACTAGATGGAGACTCTCACCCTAAAGATGGGCATCCATTGCATCTCGTTGAGTGCAGGGTTGGAGCAGTGCAAGCTGGGATGCAGGGCAGACACTAATAAAGTTATTAACTTGTGGAAACAGTGGCTGACATGTGGGCACCAAATGCTGTATTTTTCTCAGTATTTTCAAACCTCCACTTTCACTCAGCCTGATGCTCATGATAGGACACAACACCAAGCATACTGATGACCTTCTCGCCAGCCTCAAATGTTGCATAATGGACAAATCAATAATCCTTAGATGCGTTCTCATCAAAAACCACTAGGATGTCCCAGGAGACACTTAATACAGGCCCAAATACATACAGATTTACAGATGTTGCCAATTTCTCTTCTCCGAGAAGATGAATCCCAAGAACACCTCTAAAATTAGTGTCCAATGTATTCTCATCATTGGTGAGGTGTACAAAGTTAACCGTACCTCAGAGAGCAGTTGGTAACCTCGTCTCTGCACACCCGCACAGAAATGATGGGCCCAAACAAGAACAATGTCATACGCACCAGAATTTTAAGGTCACACATGAACAAAAAGCCTCATCTGGTCTTTTTGATGACTAAAATGATAATCATAAAACTATTCATAATTTTTGTTGTTTGTACTAACAGATTTGTCTCAAATATATATTTTTTACCCTTCACAACTGCTGTCTCAATTACAAATTTTCTCAGCTGAACGGTTATTTTTAGCTAAAATTATATTTGAAATCTGTAAATCTATAATTGAAATCAAGCTGAAATTAATTAAAATATAAAAATTTAAAACAAAATTAAACTTAAAAAAAACTAAAACAAAAATGAGAAATGTTGCCTTGGCAAATAACTGAAACAAGTTCAAGTCTAAGTACAAAAATTACTAAATCTGAAATAAATTAAAGCTATACAGAAACATAAAAAACAAAAACGAATAAAAATGACAAAGGCACAGAACAAAATTACTCCATTTAAAATGTATGAAGAACTACTCTCACAGCAGTTACTTTTTCAAAGTAGCTTTCTGTTGGTCAGCATGGCACATTTGTGTGGCCAACTTGAACATGAGTAAAATCTGCGTAGGGAACCTTTTCGCTCTCAAACAAAACTCCTGAATGGGTGGATTCCTATTGCAATAACTAATGATTGATTTGTCGAGCAACGGTTAATGTGACTGCACTTTTACTCAACACCACCACGTACAAAACAGAGAAAATCTGAAAACAAACCAGTGCCAGGGTTTTGTACACTTCCTGCTAACTTACCCCAGATGGGAAGATCATCGATGTACATTTGGTACCAGTAGTGGTTCTTGATCGCATAGACAAACGCATCTCTTTTAGGTTTGTCAAGTTCAATGTCACAGTAGGTTGTCTGCATCACCTCCTCTGTAAAAGACAAATCCACATTGCATTCTTACAATCACCACAAGAGCAATAATACTTACCAACCAACAAAAACATGAATGAACTACGAATTTACTTTACATAGTATTACTGTTTAATTCTTGTGCCTTTGATAAGCTTAATTTGAATAGGTAAACACGCTAGGCATATTAACATACAATCATACCTTTGAACTTGATGTTCAGACCGCTGAACTCCAATTCAACCCCCTGCAGCGCTTCTCCCAACGTCTCATGATAGTGACTAATAGTTTTCTTGGTGCCCACGCAGAACGGTAAGGAGAAGTACTTATAAGTCTCCTGTCGGTTGTGATAAGGGCCCACTGTATTCATCCATAGAACCACCTCCTCTTTATCTGTGTACTGCAGAAGAAAGAGAGCAGTCATCAGCTACCCGTTCCAAATATCAGCATCTACTTCTTTGTGATGTTAATTCAACTCCAGGATGTCACCATTTGAAAGACAAAGTTTTAAAATAAACTAGACTGCATTTTGTCCTTAAACAATTCTTCATATAGAGCAAACTAATATAATCACTTCTGAATCCACAGACACGCACACAGTCTGCTGTCCAGGGCCCAAGCACACCCATAAAAAGTCAGCTGGCAGAAAAGAGATTTTAGAATTAAGACAGCCAAAATGATGTGATGCTGCCAAAACCTCAAGCAAAATAAAATAACCAGAGACCAAGCTTGAAGGAAAAACTGCTTCAAAAAAGAAAACTGGTTCACTTGTTTAACATTACACTTCACTTAAGTCTTTAGTTAAAATCTGTGTGTCCTCCAAGTGGACAGGCAAGCAAATTTTATACAATGCTGTTTAAAAAAATAAAGATAATGGATAAATCTTAAGCGTTATAAATAACTGATTGTACTGCAATTCATGCAATACACATACTACCAGACATTTCCAGTGGAGAAAACTCCATAAATAACATCAAACTTTAAAATACAAAAGATTTTTCAGTTATTTATACAAAAAAATACTGCAGACAGTTCTGTCTAGTGACCAATATTATGTACTACATCAACAGAACAAAAACGTGTGCCTAAGATATTCAACCAACTTGTGAATCATGTAAACTGCATTAAAGGGGTCATATGATGCCATTTAAATTTTGCCTTTCTCTTTGGAGTGTTACAAGCTCTTGGTGCATAAAGAAGATCTGTAAAGTTGCAAAGACTAAAGTCTCAAATCCAAAGAGATATTCTTTATAAAAGTTCAGAGTCAACCACGCCTACCTAAAACGGCTCGTTCTAACACGCCCCCACATGTCTACGTCACGATGTGGGAAGATTTGCATAACGCTGCCCAAATGTTCACGAAAAGAAAGAAGGCGTAACTTTTATTCTCGCTGTAGTATTGTTGTTGCCGCCGCCGCCATGTCGTGAAGACGCTGTGTGTTTCGTTGTGAAAGCGAAACTACTTTGTTTGGCCTTCCAAAAGAGGACGATATCCGCTTCGTCATGCCTGGAGCTGATCCATGATGGTTGCTGAGGAAATACATCAACTTCGCGCTTTCACCGGATCAGCTTTCACCGTGGACGAAGCGAAGTCCAGCCCGGGCTCGTCACATGTGGTTGCCGCAAGTCCGCCGGACGCTCCTTCGTCGAATCAGCCGGCCGCACCGTTCTCAAGGCCGCCCGCCGCCACTCACTCAAGCCGGCCTCCGCTCACTCTAGCCCGCCGTATGTTTGTGAAAGCGAAACTACTTTGTTTGGTCTTCCAACAGAGGACACGACTAGAAATCAGTGGTTAAGTCGTATTTACAACACTGTTCCAGAACAGTTCAACCCAAATATTCACATTTTATGGAGGACTGTTTCCTGATCCTGGAAGAGTAGACTACAATGTCGGCTGTTCTGACTCACAGACTGTAAGTACGTTTTTTATATTTAAAGAATTTGCCACTGATGATTCAAACGAGAGTTTTGAGCAGTGTAGAGTAGCGCTTGTTTGTAATTTATCCGATCACAAATACAGACATGGTTTTATGTTTACGCGGCGCGATGCAACGCAACGCGTATAAAGACAGTATAAGTCATTATAATCCGTAATTATGTCCCCACTGGATGCAACAAATGCCTCATTTATAATGGGTTTTAATGTTTTTGTCTCGTCGCTCCGGCCAGATAGGGCATCACAATATGGTAAGGTGCGTAACATTTCCGTCACACGCTTGAGGTATTCGGCCAATCACAACGCACTGGATCGCTGGCCTATCATAGCACACCTCGCTTTTCAGACCGATGAGCTTTGTAAAAATAAACGCGTTTCAGAAAGGCGGGGCATAGAGGAGAAACAATAATGTACAGTATGTGGAAAATAATGTGTTTTTTGAACCCTAAACTGCATAAACACATTTCATTACACCAAATACACAATATAATGTTATTTTTAGCAACATCATATGACCCCTTTAAGTTATCATTACTAACCAGGGAAGAACTATAGACTGCTCACTGATATACATATTCAAAAGCTGCTGTCAAACCAGTTTTTAGAATCTACAGAATAAAGTACACAACTTATGACACAGACTTTTTTGAAGCAATGTTTTTGTCACCTTTCAATGGTTATTAGTATCATATTGTATGTTTAACAAGGTTTCGTATTCATAATGAAAGACCCTTTCCCCTTAGGCAAATAACAAGCCATTAGACATGAGGTCACCCAATAGACATGAAATGTAATTGATCCAGGGATGTAGATGACCCTTTAATTCTTTGAATTAAGAGTCCAAAGAATCACAGCAAGGGTGTGAACCTGAAAATTAGATAGTGTTACACCGTCCTATCTGAATCTAAAGGGCAATACAGCAGCACTCCCGACACCGGATACACTGGTCTAAATAAAATGAACATGAGAATAAGAGGAAGAGAAGACAGCTGCATGTTTGTTGCATGTTGCAATAAGTCTGATTGCATCATATAATAATTGCTGTAAATGGTGTTAATCGTCTGTTTGATAACGTCTTTAATTTTTCCATACATTTCTGCCATATGTACATTAACTGACAGTCACCACTGATAAGGTACTACTAAATATTGTAGAAACTTAATTTTCCATAAAGTTGCTTTGCAACGATTTGTATCGTGAAAAGCGCTATACAAATAAACTTGAATTGAATTGTTTGTATTCATGAAACCTTAATCACTGTCTTCCACGCTCAGAGGTATTCTCACTGGCATTGGTTTGAACAAAAAAAGAGCCCGTACACTATCAGAAGTCCCCAGATCTTTTGAGACAGCGCATATATATATATATATATAAATAAATAAATAAATGACAACGTATTTTATGTACTATAATTCATCATCACAGATTGTGTGTGGTATTGAATACTTCCAGTAATGTATGAAAGCTGTGAAATGGAAGATCCAATCTTAGTAAATACCCATAATCAACTTGTCTAAACTGATCATGCGTCATCCCACAGTTGTTAATATTCTATTCAATAGTGAGAATATACCTGCCAACATCCGAAATCCTGATGAATTCTGTAAGGAAATTCAGGACAGGAGAACGACATTCAAATGCACCCCCAAAATGCTGTCTAAGCAGGTCCTGACACATATGACATTTGGACACACTATGGCACTTAAAATCACAATGAAACGGAAGTATCAACAAATATTTTCTGTATTGTATTACACCTGAGTGTAATAGATTATTGAAAAAAAGAAACTGGGGGTGGGTTATTGAAAAAGTATAGGGTGTGGTCTTGGTTCTCTGTATCATTTATTGATTGAAAGTGACGTTACGTGTAGTCAAGTATTGTGTCCCATACTCGGAATTTGTGCCCTGCATTTAACCCATCCAAGTGCACACACACATCAGTGAGTAGTGAACAAACACACCGTGAACACACACCCGGACCAGTGGGCAGCCATGTGCTGCAGCACCCGGGGAGCAGATGGGGGTTCGGTGCCTTACTCAAGGGTCTCACCTCAGTCGTGTTGAAGGTGGAAGAGAGCGCTGGTCATTCACTCCCCCCATCGACAATCCCTGCCGGCACCAAGACTCGAACCCGTGACCTTTGGGTAACAAGTCTGACTTTCTAACCATTAAGACACCACTGGATTTTAAGATGTGGGCGTTATACTCCAAAGTGGAGGTAGATGAATGTGAGCTCAAGTTATAGCATTTTGATTAAACAATACTAGGTCAGAATAAAAAAAATAATAAAAAAAAACTTGCTCAGAAGAATTGGTCACAATAAGATCTTTGACATAAGATCTAAATATGCACTTGAATTTTCGATTCATGCCAACATTGAAGTTCTCAAATACAAAGCAAACATTGTTATCATTAGGACTGCACAATGTAAATAAAAAAAATATATATATATACACATATACACACACACATACATACACACACAGGCACACACACACAGTATATTACTTTTTTCAGTGTAAAAAGGCTACGATAAAGACTTAATAGCTTAATTGTTAGCTGCATTACATAAAATCTTAATTTCATGTAAATGTACTCAAAAAACAGAGAAAAAATATTAGTTTACGTTTTAAATATATACTGGATTATGATAATGTTACGTGTTACCCAGGGCTCTGTCATTGTGTAATTACTGATCACAGAAATTACGCAGCCTTCCATTGTACCTATCATTTCACAGCAACAAACACATTTTATTAGCTTTTATTAGTACACTGACTTATGATTACATGCCACAGAGCTAGGAACTGTAAAATATAGTAATCAAAATGTCATCGACATAAGACTGCCATCCCGTCACACTGTATTTGTAAGGTAACATTCTACCAAGCAAAGCTGTTTTTTATTATAAATGCAACCATGTTTTACAGTGTCAGTCATAAAAAAGCCTGGACGAACCGGATATGTGTGTACAAACGGACATATTTTAGCTAACGACGGTTAGCCGACCCTTCAGAGTAAGCTCACACATACACAAAAGAAACACACAGTACACGAAACATACTGAGAGGTTATGCCAGGAATAACATTATACTTATCATACATCATAGGAGAAGAAGAAACCGATGATTGCGAGCACTGCTCTGCAATTTGCACAACATAATGTAATGGGATAGCTGGTGCTAAGCTAGCAACGTAGCTTGTGATGATGTACTTAGCATTTCTAACACAGACACGGGACAACGAATAGGTCACCAAGTCCACTGTTTTGGATTTACTTCTGTCCGTTGGTGTTATTGTCAGAACAACCAGCCCAATATATAACGTCTCTCGAGACTACACACACCGAACAGAGAGGGCTTCTCGGCCCGCAGTTTATCTTACCTTGTGGTCGTGTTCATCTGCTCGAACTAGCAGAAGCGAACTAAAAACAGTCGTCAAGACAACCACTTCAATCGTCCACCAGCAGAGCCCCATGATTTTGTAGAGTAAATTCTGCGACTGATTTGAGATGGTATCTTTTTGGGGGGGCTATCCCACCTTCCTTCTTCCTGGTTCTATGACAGTGGTTGTCTAAACGACGCACACATACGAGTTTGTAGAAACTGTTCAGCGAGTGATCAGCGCGTTTTCCGCTGATTGGTGGGAAGAGGTCACGTGGGTAACTTGGCCCTATCGGTGGAGAGAGCGATGACTCAACGTTGAGGAAGGAAACCCTCCGCTCCGCCACTCATGGCCACGTCATCTGAGAAGCGGTGGAAAGGCCGGTTGCTCAGCAGGATGTAAAACCACACTGCTGTTCATTGATAGAAACTTCAAAAAAATGAAGTAAAAGCTTACGCATAATCAGCCAATTTGTCACTGTTAGTTTAAAACTATTTAAAAAATTTAAATTTAAAAATAGCTTCAGTTAACAAATACAAGAGCTGTGAAACCTCAGAGAGCTGACATATTATTTATTATTCGGGTTTCGGGCAAGGCAGTTTTTTGTGTTGTTTGTGCTTTAGATTAGCAAGATTTGGGAAAACGCGTCAAGGTATAGCAGGGACCCTAAACTCTCGGTTGATTAATCCAAAAACGCGTCCGGGAGTAAATTCAGTCAACTCAGAGTATGTTCACGGTTGACACACAAGACATACGTCGTCTTTTCTTCAATGGCCTATTTACATAGTGCATAGCGCCACCTAACTGGTGGTTGTGCAATCATTTTCAATCTTTTCGTTTCATCTTTAATCACTGAGAATAAGAATTATATTATTTGTTTGATGCTGATTATATAATAAGACATACCGTATCATTTTATTATAGAAATACATTATAGAAAACGTCCAGTTGCAAAAAGAAAAGAAAAAAAACAAGTTTGAATGCAGATCCATGTCTGAGATGACAATAATATAACATATAATACGTATAATAGTGCTTTTTAATATAGATAGATACTATCGATATAGATAACTATAATATTGCATATTAACTATAGTGTAATAATATATAATATTGTGCGCAACCTGTGACAACACTGGAGTCTGGTCAATAGGTCACGCATGCGCTGATAGCTCTGAAGTTAACCAACCCTGAAACTTAATCTACTTCTGAGCAGGGTATGTTCAGGGAATAAGGTGCAATATGGCTACTTACATACCCTGAAAGTTACCTCCGTTTTTGGAACTGAATGCTGAGTTTATCCGTTTACTTACCCTTAAACATACCTGGTTACTGTATATCACATAACCTGCTTTCGGAATACCCCCTAGTCTTTGTTTTGTTTTGGGAGAGCTAGTGTAGCATTTTGGCCAATACCTAATTACAAAAACATTTGTCTTGATAAATTGAGATACCTAGGGAAGTCAGCTAGTTTGAGTTGAGAACGTGTATGTAAGTAACATATGTAAGTAAATTAATTAATTAATTAACACAATGTATTGTATTAGCAACACTAAAGTTTGAAAATTATTTCTGGCTACTGTGTATAGGCCACCAGGGCCGTATACAGATTTCCTAAAAGAATTTACAGATTTCCTCTCAGACCTATTGGTTACTGTTGATAAAGCGCTAATTGTCAGAGATTTTAACATTCACGTTGATAATACAAATGATGCATTAGGACTTGCGTTTACTGACCTAATAAACTCTTTTGGAGTCAAGCAAAACGTCACCGGGCCCACTCATCGTTTTAATCATACGCTAGATTTAATTATATCGCATGGAATTGATCTTACTGATATAGATATCGTACCTCAAAGTGATTATGTTACTGACCATTTCCTTGTATCGTGCATGCTGCATATTACTGCTATTAACTAGATGGCTCCGCGTTATCATCCGGGCAGAACTATTGTTCCAGCCACCAAAGACAGATTCACAAATAACCTGCCTGATTTATCTCAACTGCTCTGCGTACCGATAAGTACACATGAACTAGACGAAATAACTAGCAACATGGGCACTATCTTCTCTAATACATTAGAAGCTGTTGCCCCCATCAAATTGAAAAAGGTTAGAGAAAAACGTACCAACATGGTACAACAGTAATACCCATTCTCTCAAGAAAAAAACTCGTAGTCTAGAGTGCAAATGGAGAAAAACTAACTTGGAAGTTTTTAGAATTGTGTGGAAAAACAGTAGACCCCTCTGCTATTTTCAATATACATGTTGCCCCTTGGTAATATTATTAGAAAATACGGGATTAGTTTCCACTGTTATGCTGATGATACTCAACTATATATCTCAACAAGACCAGATGAAACTTCTAAATTATCTAAGCTAACAGAGTGTGTTAAAAATATAAAGATTGGATGACCAATAATTTTCTCCTATTAAATTCGGATTATACAGAGATATTACTTATTGGACCAAAATACAGTACACAGAATTTAAACAAATCAATTTTGCTTGGTTGGAACAGCAGCTACGCTAATTATGTCTCTATTTGTTTCTCTGTTTTTGCCACGGGATTGACATCCCATGGTAACTAGGATTTACACAAGCTTCAGTCTGGATCCAGAACACCTGAGAAGAGATGCTGCCAACCCCTCAGAGGACCTCAGATGATGCCAACCCTGAAACAACATACAGAACTACCACAGTTTGATTGCATTATATAATAATTGCTGTAGTGCTCATCGTCTGTTTGATTACGTCTTTAATTGATTTTTCCGTACATTTCTGCCATATGTACATTAACGGACAGTCACCGATATTGTAGAAACTTAATTTGCTGTAAAGTTACTTTGCAACGATTTGTATCGTGAAAAGCGCTATACAAATAAACTTGAATTATTAGTTGGTGTAAATCCTCCTTCTGTGTGTGTCTCTCATGTCATCAGTGACTGCATAAACTCCCTGTAATGAAGAAAATAGACATTTATTTTGCTGCCATTTTCCAATATTTTTTCTGTCATTTAGTGATGTATGTCCAACATTAGCAACGAGTAACGCATAGCCTACTCCTCAAAAGTAACTAATTATTTTTCACTGTTACTTTTTATGGAAAGTAGTTTTTTCTCTAAAGTCTTCCTTATCTCTTTCGAAAAACTATTTGAAATCTTTAAATAAGTAATATTTAGATGAATAAAACATTTTCAGAAAGTGACATCACCTTATGATATTTGGCAAACCAGGGTCTTTATACAGCCCATTATGAAGGTATCCAAGCGCTCCATCAAATCGTACTAGCTTGACATGCTCATCTGAGTTTTGGGCCTTTTTTGCAATTCTGTAGATCTGAGCCAAAAAAAAAAAACTTTTAATGTAAAGTAAAAAAACATATATTTCTAAATTATTTTTCATACGGTAAATTACGTTTCGTACAACAAACCTCTTGAGCTGAGGCAAAGGGCACTAAATGGTCATCTTCAGCATGGAGAATCATAAGGGGGGTTTGAATTTTTTGCAAACTATCAAAACAAAATTGCAACAGATGAAAAGTTTACAATATATTTACAAATTTAACATAACACTAGCCTACTATCACAATCATATTTCTACTCATATTGCTGAATATATTAATTACATTATATTTTATATTAACCTTATATTTGAATATATAAAAAGCAATGTCACATACTTCTCATCAGTTGGAAGGTTCAAATCTTTGTTTTTCAGTGGATTGAACAAGAAGTACTGAATGTATGGGAACTTCCAATAAATCTGGAGAAAAGGAGAGAAAAAGAGAGATACAAATAAGACTTACATGTACCAAACTATGATTAATGACCCATATTATTACTGTTGCGTGGTTTGTCCATGTAAAGTATAATCAACTTCAAATTATACAGAATTAAATTGTACAGACCTGAAGTAAATTTCACTTAAAAATCCCAATTATAATGTTTTGATTTTTGAAAGGAAGTTTCAAAAAATGATCTATACCTAATAAAAATCTAAAACAAAAATACCTAAAACTCATTTGTCAGGACCAGTTGTTTTGACATGATTTCAGAGATCCTGAACGTTACTTACCCAGGTAAAAGGGTGCTCGGTAAGTTTATTAGTTTCCATCCTCGCATTTAGGAATGCACCCTCGAGTATTATTCCATCAAACTGTTTTCCTGTCAAGAAATGTGCAGTTTTTTGATCAAGACAAAATACAGAATAAAGAAAAACCACACCATTCTCCCCTAACAGTCAAGAAATTTAAAGAAATATTAAAGTTTATACTATACAATGACAGCTCCTAAAATTAACAGTAAGGAGTGAGACAAGAACCACTAAGCAGGTTAACCACTAAACAAAAGCAGGCTTGTTTTTAAATCAGTCAAATTCTTACCTTGTACTAGTAATTTAACTGCAGTGGTAGATGCAACACTATTGAAAAAGAAACATAGTGCAGTTACATAGTGCATACTGTAGCAAATATATTCTATATAATTTTTTATTTACAATTAAATTGATAGTGTTTATTGTTTCTAATACATTTGAAGTAAACAAAGCAAAAGTCAATAAAAAAGCAGATTCTACACACCCACTACCAAGCGAGTGACCCCACACACACACCGGGCTGTTTCCACTACGTGCCTTAACCCAGTGGTACAAGTATAAGACATCAGTACACAGACCGGCCTCTGTAGGTTCACCAGTGGAGTCCCCAAAACCTTACATGTTGTATTTGAGTAAGCAATAGAGAAATCATATACAGAAGTTCAAGTCTGAAATGAGCTCCAGTGATTATTGGCTACAGTGAAGTCACAACATTTTAACCCACCTCTGTAGTCCAACACCAAAACGTGATATCCAACAGCACTCAAGACCTGTATGACCAAGACACTTCAGTCATTACCACTATTCAAGTTCTTTCTTCATAATGAAATAAGTGAGTTTGCTCACATTTGCAATTCCAATACGATGGGGTGCAGATCTGTTTATCGAAGGTACAAAAAGTAATAAGTCATTAGAACATCAAGACAAAAACAAAGTATGTATTTCAATATAATGCAAAATGTGTATACCTTTACTTATTGAAGAAAACATTTTAAATAGTATACCACCATCAAAGAAAAATCACAGAGGAACGGAAAGTTTTATTAGCTGCAGTTTCCATAGCAGTTTTTACTATGGTAAAGTGCAAAGCAGTGTGAAGTTCAATGCACAAGTCATATCTCAGATATTGTATTGTGTCTATAGGTTAGCAGATCGAAGGCAAAAAAAAGAAAAGAAAAAAAAAAGACTAAACAAAGAATACAAGTTTTAGAATAAAAAAAATCTCTTAAGGTAATTAAAAGTTTTCCTGCCTGTTACCCCTATTGCCATGGAGGTAGATGAAAATGGGCGATCCGTCCCCCAGAGCTTTCTCATACCAGTCTAGATCCTTCCCCTGCGCCTCCTTCCACCTATGTTCAGGTACAGTGTGCCTAGAAACATTTATAATGCAAGAAGAAAACCTGAATATTTGTCTTGTTTTATAGTTTTTTTAGTGTGTGTGTATATATATATACTGTATATATATATATATATATATATATACACACACACACACACACACATATATACACATATACAGGTATGTCACATGTAACTAACCACACGCCCACTCTCACCCCCTCCTCAGGTGTGAGGTACATGTTTATAGTGTGATTGAGCCCTATATCTGATGGTCGGCTGAGGTCAATAGAGTCTGGAGAAATACACAAATGAGTTTAATAAATATTAATAAACTATATAGATTACAACACATCAATATTTCTAACAAAAAAATAAATAAATGTTGCATACCAGAGAAGAGATGCAGAAGAAGTGGTATTGATACAGAGAGGATGCAGAGAGAAAGTAGTCCCATTTTAGTCCAAGTCCATTGCCACTGGGATCTTAAGAAGAGGAGGAAATGCACTCAGAAACTGGGTGTAAAAACGTCAGATTTTTGATCCAGTGGGCTACAATCAAGATGTGGCTATATATTCAAGACATTGCAGTCTATGTGTTATAGTTAATTGCCTTTGCTTACAACTGGACTTTGTTGCTGTTGGAAGATGAAAATGTTATAATGGCATGGAATTGCATAAATTAACCTTCATAGTTTTAGCTCATAATAATGGCTTGTATTGCATATAAAGTTTTTTTTAAAACATTGAAGTAAACATTAAAGTAATCTTCATAGTGTCACATTCTAAAAGTTCTTCTCTTTTACAACCAATTACATTTGAGACCTATTCAGGGCTTAATAAAACATCACTGTAGACATTGCCTGAAATAGTTGTGATTCGTTTTATGCAGTTATGCAGCTGTCTAGCAAAAAAACAGGACTACACTGAATTACTTTCAAAGAAGTCAATACAAAATGTCACTTGCCTTCCATGCAGGTTTAAATCCTTAGGTTTCTGACCAGATTGTTGCAATCTTCCTGCATACTGAAATTTCCTTTCAGATTTATTGATTCTTTTCTTCATTTTGAAGTGCAGGAGACACTCTTTCTATTTATTTAACACACAACTTTGGCAATAATTGACAAACAAACCATGCAACTCATGGAAGTGAACGGGTGTAAAGAGCAAAGAGCATGGACTGGGCTTATGTGCACACATTTTGTAGTTTTTTTCACTCTAGACTTTGCTACATGGTGTGATTTATGAATATACGCTGCTCCTGATATACTTTATTTATTAGATCAGTTATGAAAAAAAGCAATTATTTATTTATTTTTTACATTGCACATGTTGAAATCATTTTTAATAAGTTGTGTGTTTTATGGAGAATAACCTGTTCTAAAGTTAGGTTAGATTTATGGCCCAGTTGTAGCATACATTACCACACATTTAATTTTTAAAGCTCAAAATTCTCAGGAAAAACAAGACTACAATGGCATTATTTATAATCAAGATTCTTTTTCATACAAAGCACTCTACTCAGCAAAGGTTTAGTTGGATCACAGATTTATGAAGTGTTTATTTATACTCTGTCTCCAATGGCCAAGGAGAACTTTCTTTCTGGAGTTTTTGCAAGCCTCTTGTTGGATTCTTTTACACCTATTCACATTTTCAATGACCGTCAATGTTCTTTAATATTTGGAATAAAAATTGCTTTTGGAAAAGTGTCAAATAGTAGCTACCTTTAATATATTCACAAATACCTGTATATTGAATTAATATTAAAAGTAAAGTTGAATTAAGTATTTCAATAAAATGTTTATTTAGAAATAGAGAATGTTTACCAGCTACCTTTTCTGCATATTGATGAGAAATTTAAGAAAAAAAAGATGAACCATCATAATATATTTGAAGAGTTCCTATTTTAATCCCTTCATGCTGCTGTCTCTGAGGAAACAAACCACCATTCAGTTGTAAAATGGGTGATAGTTTGATGTCTGTCAGAGATACATTGTAAGTGTTAACATTGTGACCAACACTGTAATACAAACGCTTACAGTCTCAGTCTTAATTTTTATTGTATAAAAAAAAAATTCTTTTTTTTTAACCTAAGTCTTGAAAAAAAATTACAAATATTAACAAGACAATAAAATTCACTCTAATTGGTTGAATTCTGAAAAAATACTTTACAATCACAATGTTTTATCCTAGAAGGGCATACTGTAAATTGACAGTTACAACACCAATTATATGAAACAGTTGGCTATTAGTTGGTGTAAATCCCCCTCCTCCTGTGTGTGTGTGTGTATCTCATGTCATCAGTGACTGCACAAACTCCCTGTAATGATTAAAATATGCATTTATTTTGCTGCCATTCAACATTAGCAACAAGTAACGCATAGCCTGCTCCTCAAAACTAACTATTTTCACTGTTACATATTATTTGAAAATAAGTTTTTTTTCTCTAAAGCCATTTCCATATCTCTTAAGAAAAATTATCTTAAAAAAGTAAGTAAACATTTTCAGAGAGTGACATCACCTTATGATTTCTGGCAAACCAGGGTCTTTATACAGCCCATTATGAAGGTATCCAAGCGCTCCATCAAATGGTACCAGTTTGACCCGCTTATCCGAATTCTGGGCCTTTTTTGCAATTCTGTAGATCTGAGACAAACAAATTGTAATTCAAAGTAAAAATGTATTTTTATGAGATAAATGACGTTTCATACACACAAACCTCTTGAGCTGAGGCAAAGGGCACTATATGGTCATCTTCAGCATGGAGAATCATGAGGGGAGTTCTAAGTTTCTGCAAACTATCAACCAAAAAATAAAAAAGGGGGTGCGGTGGGGAGAAAATGTGAGATGAAAAGTTTTATAGCATTTTCATATTTAACATACTGTAACAGTGGCATAATTGAGTGAAACAATATCACATACTTCTCATTGGTTGGAAAGACGAAAATGTTGTTTTTAAGTGGATTGAAAAGGATGAACTGAATGTATGGGAACTTCCAATAAAACTGGAGAAATGAAATGAAATGAAAAAAGAGGTACAAATAAGACTTACATGTACCAAACTATGATTAATGACCCATGTTTGTGCGTGTGTGTAGTTTGTCCTGTAAAATATAAATGAACTTAATATTTTGCAGAATTAAATGAAATTATCAGATTTTAAGTGAATTTTACTATTTAGGAAAATCACAATTATTATGTTTTGATGTCTGATAGGTAATTTTTTAAAATATCTACAAAAAAAATCTACAATACCTAATATAAATATCTAAAACTTGTCAGGACAAGATTATTAAAATGGCAAAGATCTTGAACGTTACTTACCCATGTAAAAGGGTGTTCAATAGGTTGATCTCTTGCCCTCTGTCCGGTTACGAATGCACCCTCAAGTATAATTCCATCAAACTGTTTTCCTGTCAAGAAATGTGCAGTTTTTTAACAAGACAAAATACAGAACAAAGAAAAGCATAGCATAGCATTCTCCCATTACAGTCAAGAAGTTTATTTTAAAACATAAAAATATGTGACGCTTACTATGCCATACAACGACAACTCCTAGTTTAAAAGTCAAACGAAAAGAGTGAGAAAATTGCAATGAAGAGCCACTGAGACAAACAAGAGCATGCTTGTTTTTAAATCAGTCAAATTTTTACCTTGCTCCAGTAATTTCACTGCAGTGTTAGTCGTAACACTATTGAAAAAGAAACATAAATTATATATATATTATTTACAATTATATTGATAGCTTTTTTTTTGTTTCTAAAACATTTGTAGTAAACATAGCAAAAGTCAATAAAAAAAGGTGATTTTACACACCCACTACCAATCGAGTGACCCCACACACACACCGGGCTGTTTCCACTACGTGCCTTAACCCAGTGGTACAAGTACACAGCATCAGAAGTCAGACCGGCCTCTGTAGGTTCACCAGTGGAGTCCCCAAAACCTGACATGTTTGAATGTATTTGAGTAAGCAATAGAGAAATCATATACAGAAGTTCAAGTCTGAAATGAGCTCCAGTGATTATTGGCTACAGTGAAGTCACAACATTTTAACCCACCTCTGTAGTCCAACACCAAAACGTGATATCCAACAGCACTCAAGACCTGTATGACCAAGACACTTCAGTCATTACCACTATTCAAGTTCTTTCTTCATAATGAAATAAGTGAGTTTGCTCACATTTGCAATTCCAATACGATGGGGTGCAGATCTGTTTATCGAAGGTACAAAAAGATAGAATAAATAAAATCAAAGCATGTATTTTCAATATAATGCAAAATGTATTATTTATTTGGAGGAAAACTAATTTTAAATGGTTTATCGCCATCAAACAAGAAAAATCACAGATGAACTGAAAGTTGTATTTGGCAAGTCAATATATGGTAATCTTATTTAAGGTTGACAAACTGATTATAACATGGCAGTGTATGTGTATGTTTGTTTATTTATTTATTTTTACATTTGATTTCATTGTACTGTGACATTTTGTTTAAAAAGTGAGGTTGCAAAAGAACTGAATGTGGAGATTAATTGATATGCAGCAGTTACCATCCCAGTTTTTACTAAGGTAAAGTGCAAAGCAGTGTGAAGTTCAGATCACTGATCTCTGTGCAAAGAGATTATGCAGATATTGTATTGTGTCTTACAGTCTTTACAATGGCGCACTCTGTGTAAAGGTCCTACATCACATCATTTCCACAACTCAGAACTTTCAAAACTCTTTTATTAAGTTATTGTCTATTTTTTTCCTGTAAAGAATGCACTTTTCTTCCTTACAGCCTCATTTTCATTCCTGCCAAATATTAAATATGGTGCTATCCTGACGAAGGTCTATAGGCTAGCAGATCAAAGGCATGCAAATGTAATCTTAAGTGAACAAAGAATAAGATAAAAATTGTTCTTTAAAGATTTAAGGTGATTAAAAGTTTTCCTGCCTGTTACCCCCATTGCCATGGAGGTAGATGAAAATGGGCGATCCGTCCCCCAGAGCTTTCTCATACCAGTCTAGATCCTTCCCCTGCGCCTCCTTCCACCTATGTTCAGGTACAGTGTGCCTAGAAACATTTATAATGCAAGAAGAAAACCTGAATATTTGTCTTGTTTTATAGTTTTTTTAGTGTGTGTGTGTGTGTATATATATATATATATATATATATATATACACACACACATATATACACATATACAGGTATGTCACATGTAACTAACCACACGCCCACTCTCACCCCCTCCTCAGGTGTGAGGTACATGTTTATAGTGTGATTGAGCCCTATATCTGATGGTCGGCTGAGGTCAATAGAGTCTGGAGAAATACACAAATGAGTTTAGGAAAAATGCATAAACTATATTGATGACAACACATCAATATTTCTAAAAAAATAAAAAAAATAAAATGTTGCACACCAGAGAAGAGATGCAGAAGAAGTGGTATTGATACAGAGAGGATGCAGAGAGAAAGTAGTCCCATTTTAGTCCAAGTCCATTGCCACTGGGATCTTAAGAAGAGGAGGAAATGCACTCAGAAACTGGGTGTAAAAACGTCAGATTTTTTCAAGACATTGCAGTCTATGTGTTATAGTTAATGCTTTTGCCTTTGCTTACAACTGGAATTAGTTGCTATTGGAAGATGGAAATGTTATAATGGCATGAACTTCATGAATTGCATAAATGCACCTTCATAGTTTTAGCTTAGACTTAGTCCTAGTAATAATAGTTTTTATTGCCTATTTCATTTTTTAAAACACTGCAAATGTAAATCTCCATAGTGTCACATTTTAAAAGTTCTCTCCCCCCCCAACTACATTTGAGCCATGACATTGACATTTCCTGATATTGTTGCTCTTTGTTTTATGCAAAAAAAGTCAATACAACAAATGTCACTTGCCTTGCATGCACGTTTAAATCCTTAGGTTTCCGATCGGATTGTTGCAATCTTCCTGCAGACCGAACTTTTCTTTCAGGTTGAATTATTTTTCTCTTCATTTTAAAGAGCAGCTTTGGCAATGATTAAAAACAAACAAACAGTGCAACTCACGGAAGTGGACAAAGAGCAAAGAACACGGACTGGGCATGGACCGCTCCTGCTTCTGCATATTAGAAAACAGTTGAGAAAAAAAAACATCAATATGAACTTTTATTATATATTTTAAGAGTTTGAGAACCTTAACTACATCACTTCCTGCTGCTGACGTCGCGGACGAAACAAGCCACCATTCAGTCGTGAAATGGGTTATGGTTTGATGTCTGTCGGAGGAACACTGTAAGTTTGAACAGTTTTGTTAGCAGCTTCTGTAGTTAAACATCTCTAGTTTAACCGCTTGTCATTTGGGGAACCAGCAGCCTAGACAGAGTTCACGGACGTGCTCGCGCGCTAAATTCAAAATGACTTTCGAATTCTATAGAGACCGTTTAGATTGCTGACACTTAACATTCATCACAACAGCTTTAAACGTGCTTTTGCGTTGCCGTGAGTAATTTGCATATATTTGAAGTGACAGCTGACGGACAGGTTTTCATTTCAGTTTGTCTGAAAGTCGTTATGACAAGCTTATTCTGTTTTTACATGTGTATTTGATAAGATAAATTGAGTTGGAAAGATATTCACGTCGAGAGGTTTTACTATATCCCAGGCTCCTTTATTTGTTATTGTCATTTAGTTAGTCTACATTCGTCTTTCCCCACACACAAAGATGCTTCGAAGAACAAGAACAGCAAAGGTGTATACAGAACCAGCCACAGAAGATGAATCAGATGACATGTGAGTTGCTTTGCTTTGTTTACACAGGCCGACACAATTTTGTCTTTTTCAGATTAGCTTCCAAGGTTAAGATAAAACATTGTGTATAGCAAAACGAACTCTAGGCTGTTTCTTCCGATAGATTAACAGTGTTGAAAACATACTCATGTGTGTCAAACTATTGCTCTTTAACCACAGAACGTTTCTAAGCAGTCATAGACTGTTTATTGTGTATAAATAGTCCCTTTTTAATGATGTAGAAATACAGTATTCTTCTATTTCTTATTCTCCCTGAATGCTGGATGAAATAAAACTGGATTCTTGTTACAGGACAGGCAATCAAAGAGATGACAGTGAGGAGTTAGAGGAATGGTTACCAAATATAAATGAAGGCAAAACTAAGGGAAGATGTCAGAGGGGGACAGTTGAAATGGCTGAAAGGAAAAAAGTGACCAAGAGGGTGGCCAAACCTAAAGAGCCAAAACCAAAAGAACCCAAACCTAAAGCAGAGAGGAAGCCGAGAGCTGCACGAGTTGCTAAAGCGAAGGCGGCGAAGACTAAAACAGAGCAACAAACTGAGGATGCGGTTCTACCGAAGCCTGAGTCACAGCAGCATGTGACGGTCAAAGAAGAGGCAAGTCGTTAATGCTTGTGCTTAGATTTTCACTGCGGTATATCACAATCCTACATTTATAGTATTTGACATGCAAATGAAATAAGCAGCAGTAATTGCTCTGTAATAACTGTACTGTAATTTGCTTTGCATAAAAATAATGTGTTTTTCTAAATGACTGCTTATTAAATATGGGATCCACCCTGACTGGCATCAGCAGATCTAATAATATATTATATTTAACCAACACAAACATCATGTACTCAAGGCATTTATTTAATTTCAACCTTTTGCTTTATTTTAGAGATTGTCCATGAACTTGAGCAGTCATAATGCAGCTGTCCCAGGAGATATGCCTCATGAGTGTCCATCATCCAGTCAACATTTCCCCAAGGTGAAAAAAGAGGAGCCAGATGACAGCTTCACCTTTGATGAACCTGCCCAGAAGAAACAGAGGACGACAAACGCGGCCCAGGGAAGACCGATAAAACTCAAATCGGGCAATTCCTGTGTGGAGGACATAGAGATGAATTGGGATCCCATTCAGGTGGGTTATTACTTTCTAATATAGTGAGATGACTGACTTAGTTTTTGAAATCATTGGTGTTATGTTATTCTGATCAGTGTTACACTGAAGGTCTGTTGCAATGTTAAAGGTATTATTATTTGCTATATTGTTAATTATTTTAGTGCTTTCTGGAATACTTGGCCCTGATTGGTCAGTTGCAGCATTCTACAGTCAAATATAAATCAAAGACGAGACGCCCCATTTTGGTGTCCGCAGCAAATTAAATTTACAAAAGTGATTTTATATTCATAAAAAGCATATTAAATGCAATTAAAGTGTCTACTTAACTGTTTCAGATAAGTTTTGTGAAAATAAAAATTTAAAATATGGGTGAAATAATGTTCCATTGTTCCACTTACATATTTATGTAAAAAATAAACATCATACTTATACTGACCTGAACTTTTTAAAATATTTAAAAGAAAAAGTGATTGTACCAAATTTGAGTAGATTTTAAATGATTAGTACCTTTTTGTTGACAGATGGGTAAAACCTAGTGGTTAGAATAATAGTGGCAAAGATGGGTAAATATTTAAATTTAGACTTTTGGTATATGAACTATTGTTACACTGAATGACATTTAATGGGTGTCTTCTGTAAATCATGGTAAAAATGTATGATAGTCATTATTTGTTGCTCAAAAATAAAATTAAAAGGGACACATTTTAATATCCCATGTAGGTTCTTGCTGAGAAGACGGGTGTGGAGCAGTGGGTGTGTGCGAACATTGCACAGCTCTTCCAGGAGGAGAACACGATTCCCTTTATGGTGCGCTATAGAAAGGAGCTCATCAACCACATGGATGCTGATGCTGTTCGAGATGTGCAGCTGACTCTTGAAGAGTTACGGTAAGACACTGGAAGGGCACAATGAAAAAAGGAGAAAATAAAGGAAATTATTTTTTCATTTCAAACTGATCTACTATTTAGTGCTGACTTTATATTTTAAGTGACATGCTTTAGTTGATATAGTTTAATATTTAGCTCGTCTATTTTTATGTTCAAAGGAACATAATGAGTTGTTGTTGGATAAAGCTTTTATTTAATAAGTTTATAGAAACAGCTTGGCTCGATTTTATTCGTACGTCGTGACTGGTTCTTTGCAATTAATTCAAAATGCTTGTAGTAGATGGATGTCTCCAGTGGCACAAAAAGCATCCTGATATTTTCTCATGACTATTATTTAAAGGGGTCATATGATGCGATTAAAATCTTTCCTTTCTCTTTGGACAGCCTTCCTTTTTCTTCCAATTCTTCCTTTCTCTTTGTTACAAGCTCTTGGTGCATAAAGAAGATCTGTAAAGTTGCAAAGACTAAAGTCTCAAATCCAAAGAGATATTCTTTATAAAAGTTAAGAGTCAACCACGCCTACCTAAAACGGCTCGTTCTAACACACACCCACATGTCTACCTCACTGTGTGGGAAGGTTTGCATAACGCCGCCCAAATGTTCACGCAAAGAAAGAAGGCGTAGCTTTAATTCTCGCTGTAGTATTGTTGATGCTGCAGCCATGTCGTGAAGACGCTGTGTGCTTCGTTGTGAAAGCGAAACTACTTTGTTTGGTCTTCCAAAAGAGGACGATATCCACGGAGTCCAGCACGGGGTCATCACATGTGGTTGCCGTTCATTCGTCGGATCCGCCGTGCGCGCCGTCCTCGACCCCGCCGCCTCAGCTCACTCTAGCCCGGCCTCAGCTCACGCTAAGCC